AATCGTGACATAAAATGAATGAAGAAGGACAAAAGAAAGAAAAAAAGGAAAAAAATTGAAGAAGGAATGAAGATAAAAGAAATTAAGGAAGAAGATGAGGAATCGTGTCGTAAAATGAATGAAAGAAAGAGAGATAAATTGAAGAATGAATGAAGATAAAAAAAATTAAGGAAGAACTTGAAGAAATATATCGAAAAAAATGATTGAATCAAAGAAAGAAAGAAAGAACGAAAGAAAAAAAATGAATGACGATAAAAAGAAAAAAGGAAGAAGTGGAGGAATCGCGTCATCAAATGAATGAATGAAAGAAAGGAAGAAGAAAGAAAGAAGGAAGGAAGGAAGGAAGGAAGGAAAGAAAAAGAAGAAAGAAAGAAAGAAAGAAAGAAAGAAAGAAAGAAAGAAAAAGAAAATAAATTGAATAAGGAATGAAGATAAAAAAGTAAGGAATAATTTGAAGAATCATGTCGGAAAATGAATGAATGAAATAACGAAAAAAAATTAATGAAAGAAATAATGGAAATAAATAAATTGAAGAATGAATGAAGATAAATAAAGTAAGGAAGAAATTGGGGAATCCTGTCGAATGAAAGAAAGAAAAAAAGAAAGAAATGAAAGGAAGAAAGAAAAAAGGAAAAGAAAAATAAATTAAATAGTGAATGAAAATGAAAGAAAATATGGAAGAATTTGAGGAATCGTGTCGTAAAATGAAAGAAAGAAAGAAAGAAAGAAAATGGAAATAAATTGAAGGATGAATGAATATAAAATAAAGTTAGAAGGAAAGAAAGAAAAAAGAAAGAAAGAGACAGAGGTATATAAAATAGAAAAAAATTCAAGAATGAAGATAAAAAACAGTAAGGAAGAAATAGAGGAATCGTGTCGTAAAATGAATGATGAATGAATGAGTAAAAAAAAAAATAAATAAAGAAAGAAAGAAAGAAAGAAAGAAGGGGAGAAAGAAGGATAGAAAGAAAAAAGGGAAATAAATTGAAGAATGAATGAAGATAAATAAATGTAAAGAAAAAGTTGCAGAATCTTGTCATAAAATGAATGAATGAATGAAAGAAAGAAAAAAGAAAGAAAGAAAAAAGAAAGAAAGAAAAGAAGAAAGACGGAAAGAAAAGTAAAATAAATTGAATGATGAATGAAGACAAAAATTGTGTCTTAAATTGATTGAATGAAAACACGAAATAAATACAGAAAGAAAGAAAAGGAGAAAGAAAAAAGAAATTAAGAAAGACAGAAAGAAAGAAAGAAATATTGAAATAAATAGAATAATGAATAAAGACAAAGAAAGTAAGGTAGAAGGTGTGAAACGGTGTCATAAAAAGAAACAAACAAACAAAGAAAAAAGAAAGAAAGAAAAAAAAAGAAAAATGTATCAAAGAAAGAAAAATAAATAAATAAATAAAGAAAGAAAGAAATGAAAAAGTGAAATAAAATGAAGAATAAATGAAGATCACTGAAACTAGGAAGGAGGTTAATGAATCGGTCGTAAAATGAAAGAAAGAAAGAAAGAAAGGCGAAAAGAAAGAAAGGGAAATAAATTAAAGAATAAATGATGATAAAAGAAAATATTAAATAATTTGAGAGATTGCGTCATAAAATGAATGAAAGAATGAAATAAAGGACGAAGGAAAGAAAGAGAAAGAAAGATAAAATAAAGAAGGAAAGCAAAAAAAAGTAAAATAAATTGAATAATGAACTAAAAAGAAAAAATTAAAGGAAAATATGAGGATTCGTGTAGTAAGATGAACGAAATAAATAAATAAATAAATAAAGAAAGAAAGAAAGAAAGAAACAAAGTAAGAAAGAAAGAAAGAAAGTAAGAAAGATAGATAAAAGGGAAATAAATGAAAATAAAAGAAAGTAAGGACAAAGTTGAGAAATCGTGTCCTAAAATGAATGAATGAAAAACGACAGAAAGAAAGAAAGAAAAAATGAATGAAAGAAAGAAAGAAAATGGATATAAATTGAAGAATGAAGGAAAACAAATAAAATAAGGTTGAAGGTGTGGAATCGTGTCGTAATATCAAAGAAAGATCGAAAGAAAATAAAGAAAGAAAGAAAGAAAAAATAAAGAAAGAAAGGAAGAAAGAAAAAGTGAAATAAATAGAAGAATGAATAAAGATAAAAGAAAGTAAGTCAGATTTTGAGGAAAAGTGTCGTAAAACGAATGAAAGAAATAAATAATGAAAGAAATAATGAAAGACAACTTGAAAAAAGGAAAGGAAGAAAATGAAAATAAATTGAAGAATGAATGAAAATGAAAAAAAATAAGTAAGAAGTTGAGGAATCGCGTCCTAAAATGAAAGAAAGAACGAAAGATAAAAAGAAAGAAATACAAAGATAGAAAGAATAAAAAGAAAGAAAGAAAGAAAGAAAAAAGTAATAATAAATGGGAAATAAATTAAATAATGACTTAAGATAAAAGAAATTAAGGAAGAAGTTGAGGAAATTGTGTCGTAAAATCAATGAATGAAAAACGACAGAAAGAAAGAAAGAAAGAAAGAAAGAAAGAAAGAAAATGAAAATAAATAGAAGAATGAAGGAAGACAAATAAAGTAAGGTTGAAGGTGTGGAATCGTGTCGTAATATCAAAGAAAGAAAGAAACAAACAAACAAACAAACAAACAAACAAACAAACAAAAAGTGAAATAAATTGAAGAATGAATGAAGATTAAATGAAGTAAGAAATAAGTTCAGGAATCCCATCAGGAATGAAAGATAGAAAGAAAAACAGAAACAAAGAAAGGGAAATAAATTGAAGAATGAATGAAGATAAACGAAAGTAACGAAGAATTTTGAAGAATTGTGTCGTAAAATGAAAGAAAGAAAGAAAGAAAGAAAGAAAGAAAGAAAGAAAGAAAGAAAGAAAAAAGAAAGAAAGAAAGAGAGAAAGAAAATGGAAATAAATTGAAGGATGAATAAAGAGAAAGGAAATAAGGAGAAAGTTGAGGAATCGTGTCGTAAAATAAATGAAAGAATGAAAGAATTAAGAAAGAAATAAATAAAAAATAAATAAAGAATAAAGAAAAAAGAAAAAAATGGAAATGAATTGAAGAATGAATGAAGATAAAAGAAAGTAACGAAGAATTTGACGAATCGTGTCGTAAAAAGAAAGAAAGAAAGAAAGAAAAAACAAGGAAAGAAAGAAATGAAGGAAGACGGAAATAAATAAAGAAAGAAAGAAAAAGAAAGAAAGAAAAAAGAAAAAATGGAAATAAATTGAAGAATGAATGAAGATAAAAGAAAGTAAGGAAGAATTTGACGAATCGTGTCGTAAAAAGAAAGAATGAATGAAAGAAAGAAAGAAAGAAAGAAAGAAGGAAAGAAAGAAATCAAGAAAAAAGAAAGAAAAATGGAAATAAATTGAAGATTGAATAAAGATAAAAGAAAGTAATGAAGAATTTAACGAATCGTGTCATAAAAAGAAAGAAAGAAAGAAAGAACATAAAAGAAAGTGTGGAAGAAGTCGGGAAATTGTACCCTGAAAAGAACTAAAGAATGAAAAAATGGGAAAATAATTTCAAGAATGAAAGAGTATATAAAAGTACTAAAGCTATGTCTGTAATTGTAACCTAAAATGAAAACCAATTTGACAGAAGGACGAATAGGATATAAATATATGAATGAAAGTATATAAAATAATTTGATGAAGAAGGTGGGGAAAATAGCAGTAATGTGAAAAGAAAAGAAATAAATTAAAAATGATAGAAGATAAAAGAAGGTGAGGAATCAGTCGAGGAATTGTGCCATAGAATGAAAGAAAAGAAATAAAGAATATTCAAATAAATCGAAGATTGAAAGTAGATAACGAAGAAAAAGGTGTGGAATTTGGTCCAAAATTGAAAGAAAAGTAAGACAGAATGGAAAAAACAAAGAAAAAGAGGAGAATAAATGCAAGAAAGAAAGAGACGTAGAACAACTGTAATCCTGCCCTAAAAACGATCTTCCTGATGTCATAGATTCCCAAGTAGGCATCTATGCAGACGACACTACTATTTACTCCTGCCTCAAAAACAAGTCTAGTGTTGTTGACAAAACTAACCTGGCCGTTTGTCTTGAAAAGGACCTCCAATCGGTTGTAGACTGGGGCAGGAATTGGCTGGTTAACTTTAATGCCTCAAAAACAAAACTGCTCTCTATTACTCACCAGACAGAAACATCCCTGCCTCCCATTAGAATGTCTGACGCTCAACTCCACGAGAGCTTCTCTTTGCGACTGCTCGGTCTCACATTGACTGCTGATCTGAGATGGAACGAATACATTGAGTTAATGGCTTCGTCCATCGCAAGGAAATTTGGCTCCCTGTGACGCGCCAGGAAAATTTTCCCGCCAAAGTCGATCCTTCAAATCTACAAATCAACTATTCGCTCTTATTTCTGCTATATATGGTCTGGAGCCCCTTCTGTTTGTCTCAAGGTCCTTGATATAATCCAAAGACGAATATGCAATGTAATTGGCCCTGATCTGGCATCTCGTCTGTAGTCGTGCCGTTGCCTCCCTCTGTCTTTTTTACAAATACTTTCATGGTAACTGCTCCGATGAGCTGCTTTCGCTGGTTCCCAGACTTTATGAATTTAAGCGTTCAACTCGGCTGGCGTCTCGCTCTCACCCTTTCACTCTCGAAACTGTTAAATGTAGCCGTCTCTTCTACTCCAATAGCTTCATGTCTCGCACTTTTTGCCTGTGGAACTCCCTACCCATTTCTTGTTCCCCTGATAGCTATAATCTCCAACTATTCAAATGGAATTCCAATCAACATTTCCAGATGCCCTGATCTATCCCCTATCCTTCTCTTCATCCTTTCCTCTATCACTCCTATTTGCTCTCGTACCAACTCTCTGTAACCCCTTGTGTGCTAGTGGCTTCTCGCCTTGCTTGGGGTGAAATGCTTTAAAAAAATGAATGAAAGAACCAGGAAAATAATGAATGGGAAAATAAATGTAAGAGTGAAAATAAAAAAAGGAAAGTGGTGTAGGAGATTAGTAATGGTACGCTAAAGTGAATGAAAGAAACAAAAGAAAGAAGGAATAAAATAAATGTAAGAATATAACAAGATAAAGGAAAGTGACATATAAGGTTTGTAATGGTGTGCTAAACTGAATGAAAGAAACGAAGAAAGAGTGAATGAGAAAAAAAGAAAGAATAAAGAATATGGAGCAAAGTGACGTTTAAGGGCTGTAATGATGATCTAAAATGAATGAAAAATATGAAGAAGGAATGGAAAAATAAATGTAAGAGTGAAATAAGATAAAGCCAAATGTAACGGGGGAATAAAATGAATGAAACATAAAAAGAAGGAAGATAACAAGTTATCTACCATCCCCTGAAGAAGTACAATCTTAGTACTGAAACATGAAAGTTTTTATTGTAATTTATTATATTATATATGAAGAAATATAGTCTTAAGGTATGCTATATTCATGGGATAAAGTGCTCAATATCAGAGATAGAGCGTGTGTAAATAGAAAAGTGCACATTGAAGTCAACACTTAGAGGCGACAGGCTGATTCACGCTGGACGCAATCGTGGCCTGACGATTGCGTTTAAGCATGAAACAGTCTGTCGCCCTAAGTGTTGCTTTCAATGTTCAATTATATATATATATATATATATATATTAATAATCAATAATAAAAAAAATTAAAAAGAGAAAAAGATTACTAGTAGTAAACTTATATTTTAAAATAAAATGTTATTCTTTTAATGTACTTTTCTATGAATATTTTGCTAATCGACTATTTCATAGAAAATACCTAAAATTTAAAAAAAATTTAAATCACTAACAAACATCAAATTAAATTCTTTGTAGACAGTTTAGACATTCAAATTTATATCAAATATTATAATATTTATGAACCCCCAAAATAATACTTTCAAAGTAAAACGAAATGACAGCGTCTTTTTCTAGCTGTTTTTTTTTCCAAAGAATATTAGTGCCACCGTCTCTCATGACTTCCTTCTCTCTTTTTCTTGTCATTGTTTTTCTCCCATACCCCTTTGATATCAATATATAACTTCCGTTAAGTTAACCGTTTTAATATGTCAATGTCTGGACCTCCTCAAGTAATTTTAAGTATAAAAGAATAGAATTTTTAAATTACATCTAACTCACTCATGTCTTCTCTCTCCCCCTCACTTCCTTACTTCGTTAATTTACATATGCTTAATACGGCCCGTCAAAAAATGTGTAAATTTCTTTTCATTTTTGTTTCAACCTTTGAAGTAAAGTCTGATGATCCGCAGTCCTTTAAAAAAGCTGTGGTGAAATAATTCATTACATGGAACCTTAAAAGTGGTCTGTTTTTTATTTAAATTATATATATATATATATATATATATATATATATATATATATATATATATATATAAAATGACAAAATGAAGACAGACAGGTATTTTTCGTCAATATGGACTTTATCAAAGCAAAATACGAAAATGAAATTAAATGAATTCGTATTTTGCTTTGATAAAGTCCACATTGGACGAAACGCGTCAGCAATTACCAGTTTTCCTATTGTCATTTTTATTCATAAATATTGTCTTCTCTACTGGTTAAATCGGAGAAATTTTCATATATATATTTGTTATATATATATATGATGGACTCTCGCGCCGATTCGATATATGACAGATCAACAATCTTTGCAGTTCTATATTTATGTTGATGCCTTAAATGGTACTTCAGTCCAGCTACTGATTTGCATATGAAGCCGCATTTAATGTCGATGAGAGAAAGTTAAATAGACCAGGTTGGAATGTTTGATCGAAGGCTGGTTTTAGTTCTTAGATCTCGAAGATGAACCAAACGAGATTTTTTTAAAGTTCTTTATGCCTTCATGGCTGAGTGTCCTCCATTTTCCACGGTCAGCAGCAAGTGCTTCAAAAGAAGCAAGAGATACATTGACAGAATGATGATTGCACTTCTGTTTCTCTTTATATCTGAGTCAGCGTCTCTCTACATTACGTGTACTGAAAAATATATAACAGTAATTTAGGTATGCAGTCCTCTGTCATCTGTAGTATATATATATATATATATATATATATATATATATATATATATATATATATATATATAAGACAATAGGAAAACTGTAATTGTTGCCGACGTGTTTCGTCCGATGTGGACCTTTTCAAGGCGAAACGAAATGAATTTATTAATTAACCAATATTAACAAAGCAAAATGTCCTTAGCAACTGGAAGAATTTAGAGAACGTTATTTTCATACTGTTAACTGAAATTACGTCATTTACTGTCACGTGTGGAGATATTGTTTTATTGCTGTATTGACCACTTCAACCCTTTTCTTTTTTGATTTCTTGATACTGTTCGTTACGTTTATTTGGGAGAGTAGTAATTCTGTTAAGAAATGTGAAATAGGGAAAAATCCTGGGCGTGGATTAAGATTTGGGTAATATTCAATGGCGGCACTCTCGAGGATTTTCCTTCTGAGTGAGTTATTTTCTTATGCCATATATATATATATATATATATATATATATATATATATATATATATATATATATATATATATTATTGCGTACACATACGCAATTGGCCATTGTTTTCGGGGGCTGGAATTGTCTAGCGAATTTTCTCCACAAGTGGACGGGATGGGGAATTGGTGTCTATTCGTCTAATTTTTTTAACAAACTCACATCAACATAACTAAATTTGTTAGGTATATTGTGTGTGTGTGTGTGTGTGTGTGTGTGTGTGTGTGTGTGTGTGTTTTGACAGTTAATTTTATATAATCAAATTAATAATATTTTTGCGGGAAGTATATGATAACCCTCGCTTAATTTGGCACAAGATTACAAATGTAAGGTAGCCAGTGAAAATCAAATTCGGTAAACAAGCAAGCTTTCAGTTTCTCTTAATAAATTTTTCTCCTGTTTTGATTATTTTTCATAAACAAAGTAAATAATTCCGAATTGAAAAACGAAGAAAAAAGAATTAAGCAAGAAGTTTTTGTTTTAACATTGGGAGTGCGAATGATTTTATCTAGGCCAAGATTTTTGACTATGTAAACAGCAAACTCTACAACTTAAAACTTCAAAGCGGTCGCCCACTTGCCGAATGCAATTGGAATAAATAAATAAATTAATTAATATAAATCTTTCGGGATCAGTTACCACTTGGCCGGAAGATTAGAAGTTCCGTTGTGGGCTTATATATGCTGGATGACAGAATTATCAGTTCCGGACTGCCTTTTAGGGAGTTGCTACCCGCGCGTCGTGATACTGAGATAGAGAAATGGATGGAAGGAGTTCTCCCTGGCCGAAATGAAGATCTAGTCTTTTAGTCTGTTATGAGAAAAGACAACGTTAGTGTTATGGGACCTTACCCATAAGAACATAATGAACTATTCCATACATAATAAATACTGCGCCTCAAGAGGAAGCAGGTAGTTCAGTCCGAAGTCGGGCGACCTGCTGACCGGCTGATCGGTTGAACTATCTGCCTTCGGGCGGGGAGGAACCCGAATGAGGCTACGCCGAAGGGCGGAGTCTCTTTCGGGGAGGTAAACCGACCCTGAACCTGTTTATACGGGTTCAAACGGCATATTTTTGGCAGCCAACGGGCTCGGAGATCCCACGTTTAACCGTGCCACATGATACCCTCGTGGGTGGGGGGGTGACTAAATACCGTTCAGTCTGAAGTCTGGAGTGAAGTCCGTCAGGAGTCAGTCAGTCGTGTCAGAGGCAGTCCAAAACAGAGTCGCGTTCAGACAATTACTACTAAACCTGATTGTTCATACTAACACTTTCTACTTCTCTGTATATATTCCTGTTTGTAATATATCTGTGTTGTTCCATATCCGTGTTCGTGTTCTTCTTTATTGGTTCTACCTTGGACTATCACCGGGGTACAAGGAACCGCACCATAACAGTTAGTAACAAACATATTTTTCCCTTGCCATTTTTTTCACCTTTCGTTCACTTGTAGACGTACGTCTTTTCAAGATTTTGTGCACATTAACGCAAACATGAATTAAGACACAACGTGGGTGATTTGGCCATTTGGTGAAATCATCACGCTAATATTCAGAGGTTAGAAATAAATAAATAAAAAACATTGTTGTATAATAATAGTCGGTTTTAATGGAGATGAATAAATACTCTCATAGAAACATTGAACGGTTATTTTATTTTACTTTTTTTATTCTTTTCCTTTAATTTCTCTTAGCTTTATTTTTCTGAAAATTGCCGCTTGCTGTAATAATAAATCGTAAACACATTGCCTCAGGCAGCCAGAGCCTCGGACTGGCCGACTTGTCAGTTGATGACACGTAGGAGGATTTTTATGAGAGCAGTGTGAAATGTGTTTAATATGCCATAAAATATGGCGCATTGTTGTGAGCGTAATGCATTGCTCAATTATGTTGAAAGCTGGGGACAAAAATCAAGGAAATCAAGTGTCGAACTATATATGCGACATGTCATCAATCGATACATGAAATCGACTCATACAAAACCATAGATAGATAGATAGATAGATAGATAGATAGATAGATAGATAGATTAACATAATGACGTGATTATGTAAGTCTAATCGACACGTCCTCCAAGGATAAGAAGAAAAAAGGAAATAGTGGAAGTATGGATTATATCCTCGAGGAAAGAAAGAAAAAAAAACAAAAGGGAAAATCGAAAAGGAGAAAAGAAAGAAAATATTGAAACATTGATATTGAAAGAAAGAAAGAAAGAAAAGAAAAGAAAAGAAAAGAAAGAAAGATCAAGAAGATAGTTCAACGAAAGATAAAGACGTCGAAAGGAGGTGAAAGAAAGTAAGAAATGAAAATATAAAGAAAGAAAGAAAGAAAGAAAGAAGGAAGGAAAAAACAAAATATGAAAAGAAAAGATAAATGACTGTTAAAAGAAGAAAAAGAAAGAAAGAAAATCGAGAAAATAATTGAACGAAAGAAAAATGAAATTTGAAAGAAAGAAAGAAAGAAGGAAGGAAGGAAGGAAGGAAGGAAAAAACAAGATATCAGTTGAACGAAAGAAAAAAGAAATAAGTCGAAACGAGGTGGAAAAAAGAAAGAAAGAAAGAAAGAAAGAAAGAAAGAAGAAAATAGTTGAACAAAAGAAAAAAGAACGAACACTCAAAAGGAGTTGAAAGAAAGAAAGAAAGAAAGAAAGAAAGAAAGAAAGAACATGACGAGACTGTTGAAAGTAGAAAAAGAAAGATGGACATAAAGAATGAAAAAAAAGCGAATATTTTCGAGAAGCGATGCAAAGAGCCAATCAACGGAAAGAATGCCTTCTTTTGCCTCTTCCATTCTGGTTGAATGTTGGCAGGCACCAAAATCCCGTGGAAATTCTAAAACCATGTCTGCGTTGGAGAGTGGCACTCGCTGCAGGGAACTGTTTCTTGACTGGCCTTCTTGGGGTAAAGGAAGGGGATATATCTTGGAATCAGGAAGTTTGGCACGACCTACCGGGTGGTCATGTGATGTGTATCTTTAACAAACGTTCCACTCTCGTCCCGACCCACCCCGTTCCGATCCACCCCTGCTACACCCGCCATTAAATCATGGATATTGTTTATTAATCATTCTCTTCATTTTGAGAATTCTGTTTGAATGTTGTAGTCTGTCTTTTAGCGATCACAGAATACAGATAAAGTTGGCATTGTACGTCCACTTTCTTCGATAAACACGAAAATTGATGGAATCAAGAAGATAGATTCTGGGAGCCGGTTCTGTGTTCTTTATTTTTCTTTTATTCATTTCCATGAAATAAATCGTAATAAATATACAAGTAAGCCTTGGCACATCGGCGTGGTGTAAGGGTTAGCAAGCTTGTCTTGCTAGATCAGTTACGTCTGAGTAGTGAGTTCGATTCACACTAGGTGCCACATAATTTGGGTCTTAGAAAATCACCGTAATTTACTAGCAGGACAATTCGGTCTTGAATTGAATTAATAAAATAAATATACATCATTTGTAAGGAACTAACATTTTAAAATATATGCCCTATGACACGCAACACACACACACACACACATATATTTATTTAACAGCAAAAACAAAAAATGCCACAACATAGGTATAGTCTATTTCAAATCGTTCTTCACACAGCTATCGTCAACCTTCAAGTTAGAGGCTGACGATAGCCACCAAGTTAGAGGCTGACGATAGCCACTAAGTTAGAGGCTGACGATAGCATCTAAGTTAGTGGCAGCCGATAGCCACCAAGTTAGAGGCTGACGATAGCCTCTAAGTTAGAGGCAGACGATAGCCACTAAGTTAGAGGCTGACGATAGCCTCTAAGTTAGAGGCAGACGATAGCCACCAAGTTAGAGGCTGACGATAGCGGTGTGAAGAACGGTTTGAAATAGACTCTACCTATGTTGAGGTAATTTTATAAAATATACATGCTCTGTTAAAATAAAAGCATCGAACTTTCTGTGGATCAGTTTCAATAATTAATATTACTAGGATCCACCGGATTATATACAACCGATCGATTACTTGTACTATATATATATATATATATATATATATATATATATATATATATATATATATATATGTGTGTGTGTGTGTGTGTGTGTGTGTGTGTTTATATATATATATATATATATATATATATATATATATATATATACACACACACATATATATATATATATATACACACAAATATATACATATATATTAGTCTTTATTTGCGGAACAACCTTTCTTAAACAATATATATATATATATATATATATATATATATATATATATATATATATATATATATATATATAGCGAGAGAGTTAATATACACATGAATTGGATCTTTATGGTGACTGACGGTTTCAAGCTCAATGTGATCTTCAGAACAAGTATTCATATTCAAACTTGCTCAATCGACAAAGGTTCTTCTTGGCCGAGTCGGCTGAAACACATCGGCTCTAACGACCTTTCCTTCTGCCTTGGTGTGGACGCAGGTTCGAATATTTTTCTTTAATAAAATTCCCTATATATTCAAGCCAGTAAAAGAAAATAAATATACTGTTTGATAAATAAAAGGGGCCACGACACAAATATGAGTATCCCTTGAAAATAACGCTTAAAGTGATAAGATCTGTTGCATTAATAAATGAAACAGTTCATTTTCTAGGATGAACCATTATCGCATGATGTTATACAAGTTGAACAATTTTGCTGTTACACCGCGTATATTATACAGATACTTATACATTTAGTGCCATCGATAATTAATCAATGCAATAGAATTAAAACGAACAGCAGGGACGATAGAATAAATATATCTGAGTGTATGTATTTTGTAAACAGGGCGAAAAGATGTTACGTTCTCGAATCAGAATGCATAGATTATTTGTACACTGAATCGGAAATTTCTTATTTGAAAGCCATGAAGGTAATAATTTTTTCGGGAAGCCACTAGCACGCAAGGGGTTATAGAGGTTAATTTGGTTTGTATTGTTTTACGGCATATCAACCTGAATGGGTCATTTAATACCGACAACTTTTTTTTCTGGTAATATTTTTGTTAATCTATTTCTGTTAATATTTTTTTCCTCAAAAATGTATAGTTGGTAATATTATTTTTTCAAAACGTATATCCAACAGCACTATACTTTCAAGAAAAAAAACAAAAAAAAAACGTATAGCAAAAATATCAAAAATGTATAGCTAATAATATTATTTTTTTAAAAAACGTACAGCTGACAACATTATTTTTTCAAAAACGTATTATCAGAGGCCTTGCTGTTTAACGTAGTGTATCGTGTTACCCAGGATGCGGATGTAGTTTATTGTCATACCCAGGACGCGGATGTAGTCTGAGTGTTAAGTATTTGCCCATAGCTGGGACCCTAACAAGTGCTACCACCCCGGGTCAGGGCGGACCTGAGAACACCAGCAATTAAGAGCCGATTTCACGCTCCTCAAAACCTGATCAGAGGCCTTGCTGTTAAACGTAGTTTATCATCTTACCCAGGACGCGGATGTAGTTTATCGTTATACTCGGGATACGGATGCAGTTTATCGTCATACCCAGGACGGAGTTACAGAGAGTTGGAGCGAGTGTAAAGAGGAGTGATAGAGGAAAGGATGAAGAGAAGGATAGGGGATAGATCAAGGCATCTGGAGACGTCGATTGACATTACATATGAATAGTTGAAGATTATAGCTATCAGGAAAACAGGAAAAGGGGAGGGAGTTCCACAGGCGAGAAGTGCGAGACATTGGAGTAGAAGAGACGGCTATATTTAACAGTTTCGACAGTGAAAGGGTGAGAGCGAGATGCCAGCCTAGTTGAACGCTTAAATTCATGAAGTTTGGGAACCAGCAAATGCAGCTCCTCGGAGCAGTTACCATGAAAGTATTTGTAAAAAAGACAGAGGGAGGCGACGGCACGTCTGTGAGAGAGCGGATGCAGACGAGATGCCAGATCAGGGCCAATTACATTGCATATCCGTGAATCATTTAATTTTTGTATTGTGTGATCATTTTTTTACAAATGCAGAGAATATATAAAAACATAGGTAGATAGATTGATCGATAAATAGATATGAAGAGGCAAAGATATATATATATATATATATATATATATATATATATATATATTGTAGCATACCTGGTTATATATATATATATATATATATATATATATATTGTACATATATGTCTACCCGACCCCGTTTTATACGATGTCTATGGGGAATTTTGGCCCAAGCCTATGGGTTCGGATACCCCACATTAAATTCGGCTTTGTGGAACTTCTGACCGCGTAGGACGGTTGGTAGATATCCTGCAGACGTAGATTCGTCTCCAGCTGTGCTGATCAAACTCTCTGCCTGCGGGCTTTGAGGATTCCCAGACGAGGCTATGTCGAAGGATAGAGTCTAATCTCGGGGAACATCTACCCGATCCCGTTTTATACGGGGTCTACGCGGATATTTTGGCCGAGCCTACGGGCTCGGATACCCCACATTAAATTCGGTCTTGTGCTACATCTGACGGCATGGGGCGGTTGGTAAATATTCTGAGTTGGAGATTCTTTGTGGAATTCACTTGACTCACTTCTAGCAGTTGAGTACTACTTCTACGCGCCGCTAGCAAATCTTATATGTGTTGTTCATTACCAACCTTCGTTTGATTATTCTATTCAGTAACCTTCCCTAGGTTACAACAAGATATATATATATATATATATATATATATATACAGAGAGAGAGAAAGAAGTGGATAGATAGACAAATAGATAGATAGATAGATAGATAGATGTGAAAAGACACAATAGACTGATATGGAAGGATAGATATGAAAAGACATAGATATGAAAATACCAGTAAATGCTCTGTTTATAAATAGTAATACAACACACGCTGAATGTCCGAAAAATTTCCCAGAAAATATGAGTCTTCCGACAGGGATCGAATTTGCATCCAACACTTAATCGTCATATAGCCTGACATGCTCTACCATTTAGCTACAGGGGAAGCGTCTGGGTAGCAAGATCGAATTACTGCTTTTAAACTACAAATTTCCCATGATTTTTCTCGAACGCTCCTACTGCTCGAAGCGTATCTTAGCGTAAATCACGGGAAATTTTGAGAACAGCAGGGTAGACTGGGCTTTGTAGCCTTGGTTGGCAAACACTATAATAGAAGGATCACGTTGGGGAACTATTCCACTTCTTTCCCAAGAAGTAATGGTAATTGTTAAATGTGAATATAGGTAGGGGGAAAAGACAGCCAGGAAGCGAGCATTTAAAAGAACAATGATATTTCTGATTGAATCCGCAACGTTATTTCTGAATGAAATCGACGTAATATTTATATAAGTAAAGGTATAAAAGCTTTATTTTTTTTCTGGAAGATTTAAAAAAACAAAAAACAAGATGCCACCCACAAATTTGAAATGTCCAAATCAAACAAATAGAGAAGTTCAAATTTCCGGGAAGTGTTTAACAGATGATAGATTTGATAATAAAATCCGAATAACGAACTGGAATAGCAAAAGATGCTTTCCAAAAACTAAGCAAAGTATTAAGAAACAGAAAAAATACATTAGAGACAAAGTAAAATTACCGTGTTGTTAACCCTAGAACACTAACCATGGGTTTATAGTACACAGCGCAAATTTTTCTATTTTTGATTACAATTTTCAGTACCTGATTTTCTTACCTAAATAATGTTTTTCAGTTCCTATTAATGTTAACTCAAAGTACAAAGTTTGAAGTGCCTGCATGTAAAATATTTCAAATAAAGATTTATATTTAATATTATTTTTGATATTTTCAAAATCGTGTATCATATACCCATGGTTAGTAGTGGTGTAACTTTAATTGATGGTTAGTGTTCTCGGGTTAAGTAATATCAATTCTCATATATGTCTCACGGCCAAATATACGTTGCCCAATGTCCATTCGATCAAATATCTCTGGGCCAAATGTCTCTCTGGCCAATGTTTCTCGGCCATATGTCCGTCGGCCGAATGTCTTTTGGCCAAATGTCCGTCTCCCAATGTCTATTCGAACAAATATCTGTTGGTCAAAAGTCCGTCTGCCAAATGTCCGTCGACTAAATGCTTCTCGGCCAAATGTCCGTCGCCCAATGTCCGTACGGCCAAATGTTTTTTTGCCCAAATGTCTGCTCAGCCAAATGCCTCACGGCCAAATGTCCATTCGACCAAATGTCTTTTGCCCAAATGTCTCTCGGCCAAATTTTCGGCTACGATGGACATGGCATTCAAAAGAACTTGTGTTATTCTTTTTGTTTTACAGTGTTGGATTTCTAATACGTACCGATAGAACGTTTGACTAAAGTCAATTTGGCAAATTAGTTCATTTCTGTACATTGTAACGATATGAAAGAGTATTGACTTATTTAAGATGTCATGTTGATTGATTGACATTGTGAGAGAACGTTACCGTCGAATGAAATATAAAATTATTTTAAAAGCCTTCATGCTTGTGTTCCATGTCTTGATTGTCTCCTTTTTTTTTCTACTTTCCTAACGCTTGAGAATTCACACAATGGAAAGGTCAAAGGAAAATGTTTCATTTTCGTTTGCATTTGTCCTTTGGAAATTCTCGACGACTTTCGGGTTTTCCATTTTCTGTTTGCGAATTTCCGCTTTTTTTCTTTCTTTCTTTATTTCTTTCTTTCTTTATTTATCAATATTTTTGTCTTTCTTTATGTATTTCGTTTCTTTCATTTTCTCTCTCTACTTCACCCAATCTTTTCTTTCTTTCGTTCTCCAATTTTCAACTTTTTTCTCGTTCCATTTCTTTTTAAATATTTCTCTTTTTTGTCCTTCCTTTTTTTTTACACTTTTCATTTTCCGTTTTTTTTCTTTTTCTCACTTTCTCTTTTTATCGTTACGTCTTTCTTTTTTTCCCTTTTCTCACGATCTAGTTTTTTTTCCTTCGCAATGTTTTTTTTTATTTTTTCTGTTTTTCATTTTCTTTCTTTCTTTCTTTCTTTCTTTCTTTCTTTCTTTGATACATCCTACCCAAAAAGCAAAATATCTATTAGGATGCATAAAGGTGTTTCTCTAGACTTCCAGTTCCAATTGTCAGGTATTTCGTGAGAAATGTTTCCCTTGAACTCCCAGAATCTGTCGACATATTTAAGAAAAAAACAAAAACAATTGTTCAGTGATTTTTATTCATATCTATCTATCTATCTATCTATCTATCTATCTATCTATCTCAGTCTGTTCGTATCTATCTATCTATCTATCTATCTATCTATCTATCTATCTATCTATCTATCTATCTCAGTCTGTTCATATCTATCTATCTATCTATTTATCTATCTATATATCTCAGTCTGTTCATATCTATCTATCTATCTATCTATCTATCTATCTATCTATCTATCTATCTATCTATCTCAGTCTGTTCGTATCTATCTATCTATCTATCTATCTATCTATCTATCTCAGTCTCATATATATCTATCTTTCTATCTATTTACCCCAGTCTGTTCGTATCTATCTGTCTATCTAAATATCTATCTATCTATCTGAGTCTGTTCATATCTATCTATCTATCTATCTATCTATCTATCTATCTATCTATCTAAGTACCTGATAATTTAAGGCATAGAACCTTTTAAAATTCATATTTATATATGATTGACTATTTTCTGTCAGAGCGCGCTTTTCAACAGAAACAAAATACAGATACAAAATCACATACAAACACAGATACACATTAAAGGATATATGTACACACACACACACACACACACACACACACACACACACACACACAAACACATACGCACGTACGTGGTTAGGAAGATGCGGCGTCGAGGAAGCCAATTTGCTTTATTTTAAAAAAAAATTTTTTTGCAAAATCCACGCACTCCCCCCGCCCCCGCGCTATACATTGGTTCGCTTAAAAGTCTTTTTCGTTATCTTTTTTTTTTTGCATAGAGAGTCGCCCAGCGGTGTCAAAGTGCCTCAAGGAAGGTGAAAGGTCGCTAAAGTACCAGCTTCTTCACTGAAGATCAACCAAAGAAAAGAACCTGACAGGAAACACCATTTGTGGACACACCCTCAGGTAGTAAGCAACAAGGAAGTAAGTTATATATATATATATATATATATATATATATATATATATATATATATATATATATAATGTTTATACGTTATTTTTATATATATAGCTTATTTAAGGATATGCTCTTATTTAAATAAAACAGTATAAATTACAGTTACCAGCCTGAATGTTCGAGAAATTTCGTAGAAAGTATGAGCCCTCCAACAGGAATCGAACCTGTATTTCTATACGGAAAGCCTCATTTGATCTGACGTGCTACAGAGAAGTGTCTAGTTACCCAAGTTCAAATGACTGTGAACATACAATCTTTTTTTCTCTCGATTGATTTAGATCTTTCTCGATCAATAATTTCTGCTCACGAAAAGTATTAAGGACAACATATTATGAAAAGGATTAATTTACTTAAATAAACTGTATCTATAAAAATATGGCATAAACAGGAAGCATATTAAATAATTTTCGGATTTCATCCATTTCATAATATATCTATAACTATATCTCTCTCTGTCTATTTTAGAAGATCATGAAGATAAGTGGATTCTGCGCCTAAAAACGCTCCATCCAGCCGCGCTTAAATCACAAATTTAACAATATAGATTGAATTAATTTATAATCCCACAAATCTGGTCCTACCCACACAAGACAGACATGCTTCTGGAGGTGTTGATGCCTCACACTTATACACACGCCCATACTAATATACACACTTACACACATCATATTCATACACTCTCTAATGAGCCAAATAATAACACACACATACTAATATACACATTTATACACATCATACTCACTCACTCCCTAAGAGCCAAATAACACACACACTTAACAATGACACATCCCCTTCCCAGGAACCAATAAAACTGTCAAAATGACCAAGGGAATTCAGAGCAGCATGAATCCATCCAGCTCTCATCTTAAATTACAACTTAAAAGGGACTGCTTGACCAACACAAGGACTGACCAAAATTCATGTTAAAAAAAATAAAATATACAAATGAAAACTACAGACAAATGTTCATTTTCTCCATCATGACATTCATTTCTGTAGTTCACTGCTACCAACAAGCAGAAATATTTCTTCTCCCGATGATGGCCATTTTGGCCGAAACTAGTCGAGGAATCTAAATGGAATAATAAAAACGAAAGAATATACAACCCAGTGTGCCTGAAAGTTTTAATTTTTTAATATTTTTTATTGTTCAAAACACACACACACACACACACACACACGTATATATATATATATATATATATATATATATATATATATATATATATATATATATATATAATAAAAAACTTAAACACTAATATTTCATGGTCATAATTTATTCCATTGGAATCGTAAATACGATCCAATTCATCAGACCTACAAATTCAAAAAGAAAACAGAAAATAACAACTCTGGAAATACAAAATAAAATTTAGAGAGAGTATAAGTATGAGAGTGTGGGACGAATGTTACAGTTAAAGAGATGGGTAACAGACGAGAGAAGGTCGGGGATTAAAATTTAACAGGGAGAAGTTTTAGAGAGGTGAGTCAAAGACGGTTTAAGTGAGAGAAATATGAATGTTGTCGGATGTCTAATACGTTAAAGATCTAACCGGAAAGGACACATTTTGTGGTGACATACACACACAATAGACGATCTAATCTTAAAGGTCAGAATAAGAGGGAGGGGGAGGAAAAGAAAAGAAAAGGGGTGGGGAAGAGAGATGGAGCGGGGGAAACTAAAACTGAAAGGCATTTACT